AATCAGTGAAGACGAGGAGAGAACACGAGGAGAGAAGACGAGGAAAGAAGACGAGATGAGAATCAGTGAAGACGAGGGGAGAAGACGAGAAGGGAAAACGAGAAAAGAAGACGAGATGAGAAGACAAGGAGAGAAGACGAGAAGAAGACGAGAGGGGAAGACGAGCAGAGAAGACGAGATGAGAAGACGAGGAGAGAAGACAAGGAGAGAAGACGAGGAGAGAAGACGAGGAGAGAAGACGAGGAGAGAAGACGAGGAGATAAGACGAGGAGGAGAGAAGACGAGGGGAGAAGACGAGAAGGGAAGACGAGGACAGAAGACGAGGAGAGAAGACGAGGAGAGAATCAGTGAAGACGAGGAGAGAACACGAGGAGAGAAGGCGAGGAGAGAAGACGAGGGGAGAAGACGAGAAGGGAAGACGCGGAGAGAAGACGAGGAAAGAAGACGAGGAGGAGAGAAGACGAGGGGAGAAGACGCGAAGGGAAGACGAGGAGATAAGACGAGGAGAGAAGACGAGGGGAGAAGACGAGAAGGGAAGACGAGGAGATAATCAGGGAAGACGAGGGGAGAAGAGGAGAGAAGACGAGGAGACCATTTCCGGCTCCAGCTGCTAGAGGGAAGACGAGGAAAGAAGACGAGATGAGAAGACGAGGGGGGAAGACGAGAAGGGAAGACGAGAGGGGAAGACGAGCAGAGAAGACGAGATGAGAAGACGAGGAGAGAAGACAAGGAGAGAAGACGAGGAAAGAAGACGAGGAGAGACGAGGACGAGGAGAGGGAGAGAGACAAGGGGAGAAGACGAGGAGAGAAGACGAGGAGAGAATCAGTGAAGACGAGGAGAGAATCAGTGAAGACGAGGAGAGAAGACGAGGAGAGAAGACGAGGAGAGAAGATGAGGGGAGAAGACGAGAAGGGAAGACGAGGAGAGAAGACGAGATGAGAAGACGAGCAGAGAAGACGAGGAGAGAAGACGAGGAAAGAAGACGAGGAGAGAAGACGAGGAGAGAAGACGAGGAGATAAGACGAGGACAGAAGACGAGGAGAGAAGACGAGGAGAGAATCAGTGAAGACGAGGAGAGAACACGAGGAGAGAAGAGCAGGAGAGAAGACGAGGGGAGAAGCCGAGGAGAGAAGAGTTCGCCTGCTAATGACTTCCCAGCGGCTCAGTCCAACAGGAGCTGCACGGCGTGGTGCCTGCAGATGCCATTGTCTCTTCCTTGTTAGGAGAGATCACGTCTTCAACGTTCCCTCGAGAATCGGTGTAGGCGTTAAGCATCACAGCGTTTGCAGTGCTTGTCAGCGCCGCAGCATGCAGCCATGGCCTAAGCGCTTGCCAGGGACTGGTCGGCCGGTCAGGGTGCCGACAGGTGAGACGAGGAGAGAAGACAAGGAAAGAAGAAGAGGAGAGAAGACGAGGAGATAAGAAGGAGATAAGACGAGGAGAGAAAACGAGGAGAGAATCAGTGAGGACGAGGAGAGAAGACGAGGAGATAAGACGAGGAGAGAAGACGAGGAGAGAATCAGTGAAGACTAGGAGAGAACACGAGGAGAGAAGACGAGGAGAGAAGACGAGAAGGGAAGACGAGGAGAGAAGACGAAATGAGAAGACGAGGAGAGAAGACGAGAAGGGAAGACGAGGAGAGAAGACGAGATGAGAAGACGAGGACAGAAGACGAGGAGAGAAGACGAGGAGATAATGAGGGAAGACGAGGGGAAAACAGGAGAGAAGACGAGGAGACCATTTCCGGCTCCAGCTGCTAGAGTAGGCAGTTCGCGAGGAAAAAGGCCCGACCTGTTCCGGCAAGATATGATTTCCAGACACTCCATTCTGGTACTGTGCAACCAGGTGTTATTTCTGCGGACGCACCTGCTGGGGAGGTGGCAGTTCTATCGCCAGGAGCGTAAAGAGCGAGACCATAGGATCAGGGAACCCCGGATGCTGGTGATAGAGTCATAGAGGGGAACGGTGTTAGCCGGACCCTGGAGTAACGTGCGTGGTGTTTTACTTCCTTGCGTTACAGTTTCCTTTTTCCGCATTGATATGACATTTCCAGATTTGAGTGGATTTTTTGAACTGAGTGCCTTCAGGCCATCGGCCAGTGGTGCAGCGCATTTTTCCATCCTTGCGTTGCTCAAGGGTTACCAGCCATACATATTGTAAGGGTGGGTTCTGTGGAGGTAAGCGTGTGTGCCGGTTTGGCGCTTGTTTTGAAAAAGGCAGACCCCGAGTATTTGTTGTGGCAGTTTGCAATTTTTGCTCTTAAGCGGGTGCCGAGTGAAGTGGTTTCTGCGTGCGGTTGAGTGTTCGCCTGCTAATGACTTCTCAGCGGCTCAGTCCAACAGGAGCTGCACGGCGGGGTGCCTGCAGATGCTATTTTCATTGGCTTGCCTTTCTCACTCAAAGATTGTAGGAGAGATCACGTCTTCAGCGTTCCCTCGAGACTCGGTGTAGGCGTTAAGCATCACAGCGTTTGCAGTGCTTGTCAGCGCCTGCCGCAGCATGCAGCCATGGCCTAAGCGCTTGCCAGGGACTGGTCGGCCGGTCAGGGTGCCGACAGGTGAAGCCTTGCCATCCGCGTCCTCTGCGGCAGTCCAGCGGGCCACTGTGCGCGCAGAAGCGACAGCCAAGAGCCGCAGCAGAAAGAGAAAGGCCGCTGCGGCGGCGCCAGACAGTTCAAAGTCGCAGGCGACGAAGAGGGTACGTTCGAGTTTTGGCGCTCGAGATGCTGCTCTCGATGTCGGTGCGGTGGCGCAAAGGCTCGCAGCGGGCCGCTCAAGCCGCAACTACGTGCTTCTACTCCAGACCTCTTTGCTCAGTGCGATCTCGACGGAGCAGTTGACTTCTCTGCCTGCCGTCCGTGGTTTGACAGCAACATGGCAAGGGCAGGATGTCCTGGTGCTGGATTCTTTCATGGTGCGGGGTTGCCCAAGGAATGATGTGGCCATTCTTCGTCTTGCGGCCGCTGGGCAGTGGGTGCTCGGAGATGTCGTAACGTGTAGGTCAGCAGAGTTGTCCAGTGTGCGCTTGCAGCACGAGGTTGTAGAGGTGGCGCGGGGCCGCGTGGTCGTGAAAGAGTTCTGCGATGCTGCCGATCCTGCCCAAGCAGTGCACCGCGCCAGGGCCAAGGCCGCTGAGGCTGCGTCTGTTTCTGAAAGCAGGACGCTTAGCTGGATGTCAGCGCAGCCGCAGCTGCTTGCTCGAAGATCGCTGAAGCCAGCAGCTGCAGAGCTGCATGAAAAACGCTTTCCGGGTCACCGGGTGCTGCCTCGCGCAGACCGTCAGCGCTTTGAGTTTACACTAGATGTGCCTTGCTCTTAAATTTGGGATATGACCCCGTGGCGGTGCCGCAGCTGCGACTCCGAGACTTGGCAGGTGACACCTGCCGACATGGATGCCGAGTGCTCTCGTTTGGGCCTAGGCGCAGTGATTCGCTGCGAGGATACTAGGCACGGCAAGGTGTCTGCCTCTCCCTTGCTTCTGTTTTGGCTGCTCTTCATGTTGTACAGCAACTTGAATTTGCATGCAGTGCGAAGGAAGCTACTGGATCTGTATTCAGCCTCCGTGCTGCATGCCGCCCAGATGACTCCGTCCCTTTCAGAAGCAGCGCAACTACGTTGGATTTTGATGTGCGTCCCAGACCACCATGCCATTAAGGATATATTGCTGAAGTGCTTTGAAGGTTACGTGCAAAAGAGAGTGGATCTCATGCAGGAGCGGCAGTGTGTCTACAATGGGCAACTGATCCGTGGAGACGGTAACTATGATCTTGCGAAGGCTGTTGTCTCTATGGTTGATGGTAAGAGGACCCACAGGTACTCCGTTGCTTTGGGCTGGTGCGGGGTCGATGGCAGCTTGTTGGCGCCGGTGTCCTTGGCTGAAGCGGAGTCCTGGCCCTGCGTTGAGGCGTCCTTGGGCCCGCTGTTAAGGAAGATCAAGCGCGCCCGGCTGCAGGCCGGATTCAGCTTAGAAGAGTCTTTGCCGTGCTTCCATGCCACGGACTCGTATCACAAGCATCGGCAAAAGCTTTGCAAGCTCTACGGCCGTGTGTGGCAGGATCTGCGGGTAGAGGGACGAGCGCCCACCCGCTGCAAAGATGCTTATGGTAAGATTGCCGTTGCTTCCGAGGATGGTAGCCTTGCTAGGTGGCTGTTTCGTGTCACGGGGGAGCCCATGCACGATTTGTTTGCTCTGCGCCGCATTGCGTCCCCAGCCGCGAACGATTGCCGGTCCTTTCTGAAGGACCACGAAAGTTTGATTCTGAGGCTCAACGCTCCTCCTCGCCCTAGTCAGGCGGCATCTGGCGCCACGGCCGCAGACTTGGCCGTCACGCACGCAGCTCAGGAGTTATTGCGCGCGTGTGTGAAAGAATCGGCGGCAAAAGTGGCAGAGGCGGTGGCGAGTGCACCTGCAGAAGCGCAGGAGCTGCGTGCGCTGCTTGCTTGCGAGAACGGTCAGGACCACGAGGTTTGGCCCGCCCTTTTCAAAGCCGCTCCTCCGCATGGCGTGCTTGCGCGCACAGCGAGGCTGCTGGGGGCAACGCTGCCGGCCAAGCATGGGTACTACAATTATCAGAGCAAGGAAGACTTTCTCGATGAGGTTCGGCGCATGGAAGCGTGGTATCGGGAACCTAGGAGGGACGCTAGACGAAGACGTGGCATTGATCGAAGGCAAGTTCCATCCGCGGAAGTGAAAGGGAGAGCGAAAGTGTGGACTGCAAAGGTTGCAGCTCATTATTCGCGCCTCCGCGCGCCTGTCAGGCTGCAAGGCCTCATGCGCTGGCGGGAAGCTGCTTTAGCGCTGCACGCAGCAGGCATTGAGTCGCACTCTGGGACAGTCCCTGTTGAGCGGCTGTGGGCGAACATCGGCAGGTTCATTCCAAAGGAAGCAACGAACATCAGTGAGGCTTGGTGGTCTTTCCTATCCAACCTGGCATTCTTGCGATTCAATTACCGCCACTTCCACAAACATGGATTGCCCGGCTGGGCCCGGGAAGACACGCTGGTGCACGAACAGGTAGAAGGCGTCATGAAGTTGGCGGAGGCAGTCTTGTTCGGAGGCGAGGAGTCGTTGGCCGTGGAGCTGGGCGCTTGGGCAACTAGCATGGGCTGCGGTCAGCCAAGTCTAGCGTCTTCAGGGCAAGATGATGTGGAGGCGGAAGCCGCGAGCACGCCAGACTTGTACTGCCGAGTGCTAAAGCCAATGTGGTGCCGCGCCTTGGCGAGCGGAGAAAAGATGTTTGAGGCCCAGAGCTACAGGGAGAAAAAAGGCAACGCCATGAAATTCGCCAAAGCTGGAGTGTGGGTTTTGTTTGGAGAAAGCGGCTCGGAGCAAGTGGCTGGGGCTGCTGTGCTGGCAGGCCCAGCAATGCGAAATATCAAGCTCGCCGAGATCCAGGGCGGTGTGGGCTCTTTGCCTCAGCACTTGCAGGCCCCTTTCTCCGAGTACATAGCAGGGGCAGTTAAGGTTGATTTGGTTGACGTGCAGATCGTCTATGACCTGAGGCCTCTATCTTTGAGCTGGGGGCAAGTAGCCGCCATGTTGAAATGCAAAGTGTCCCGCAACATCGGTTTCACCAGAGTGAGATGCCAGGATGAAGCAGCTTGGCAGCGGTTCCGCGAACTCGTGGCAGACGAGAGGGTCCCGATTCGGGAGGGCCCGCCGCGCGCGTAAGCTTCGCGGCCCGTGGTGCAAAAGAAAGCGGCCAAGTTGCAAGCCCGGGATGCTGAATGCTCAAGGGTTTCCACAAGGCTACCATTTTCTTGCAGCGCCTCTTGTGAGTTTCGCAAGGCACCTTGTTGCACAGAGGCTGCTTTGCTTTGCTTGCGTTTAGGGCAAGAAAGCGGGCTGCTGCATGATGCCCTGGGCATGGAGTTGACATTGCGTCCCAGCTCGTGGCTCCTAGGCTCAAGTGGTACGACCGACCGACGCGATCGCACGGCAAGTGCCTGCGAATACTCAGCAATGCTCGAGAGCCCCGAGGAAAACACACCGAAAACGCCGCAGCCTGTGCCTCGTGAGACCGAGTCGCCAAGTGGTACGAGCGACCAACGCGATCGCACGGCAAGTGCCTGCGAATACTCAGCAAGGCACGAGAACCCCGAGGAAAACACACCAAGAACGCCGCAACCTCTACCCCGTGAGACCGAGTCGCCCGACGCATTCTCTTCGCAGCGCTCGCCTGGCGCGCCCAAGATGGAGGATCAGCATTTTGGACTCAGATTCCAAGATTCTGCAGCAGCTGGCGCGAAGTGGATCGCTGCAAACCAGCACGCTGATCACATGCAAAACCTTCTCAACAGCCTGGGGGTGGCCAATGATGAGTTAGCCGCGCGCAAGCTCCTCTTCTCGGACAACTTTGCTACCGGGATGGGTACAGCCAAAGACACGGCTTCTACCGTTAAGGACTGGCTGCGCATGGTGGCAGACGAAGAGCGTGGTCACAGAGTTGTCAGTTCTGACATATCCTTCGACCTGAGGCGCTGCCTGCCCGCGCCTTTCATGCAAGCAGTGAAGAGCCTTAGCGAAGGGAACGGCTTGCGCGACGAAGCCTTGGCCTGGTGCTTCTATGCTAACATAGCATTTCTAGAGCACCATGGCCGACGTGTTGGCCACAAGTCAGGAGAGCACACTGAGGCGCCCAACATCCCAGTGCTAGTGGGAGGTCCCCCGTCTTCAAGGAAGACTTGCTTGATAGCCATGACGACCGACTTCATGTTGCAAGCGCCCGAAGCGCCCCAGTTGATGCAAAAGCGGGAGTGCATCATCGCTGATGCCACCGTCGCTGGCATCCGCTCAGCAATCTTCAATTACAACAGAGCTGCGGTTGTCGCAGATGAGGCTTCCAACGTCTACGAAACTCCTTGGTCAGAGAAGGGGTCTGGGGGAATCCATTATTTGAGCAAGGCGAAAATGAACACCTATGTTCTCAGTGAAGCCGATGACCAAGCCACAGGGCGAGGGCAAGTGCATTTGGGGTCCACACATCACCCATATCTCTTTCTTCACAAGGTGGCAGGCCAAACCGAGATCATCGAGTTCATTGCGCAGCCTGTTGCGCACGGCTTCAACAAGCGCTTCAACCTTGTCTTTGCGCCAGAAAGGTCCCCGGAGTCGGCTGAAGTCCACACTGCTAGCGCGAAGGCCTTCTTCACACAGCTACACACTTGGCTGTACAAGAATGCTTGGGGCACGGAAGGCAACCACTACTTGGACGGCTACGCGTTGACCTGCTACCAGAGTGTCAAGCAGGCAGTGGAAGACTTTATGGAAGAGAGAGGCAGCCAGCTTACCAAGGATGCGTGTCGCAAAGTCCGGTTCTGGTCCACCGACGTGCTACGCCTTGCCCATGCAAACATGCGGATTTGTCAGTTCTCAGTGGTAGAGTACGGGGGCAAAGACGTGGCTCGAACAGAGGCAGCCAGAACCCAGCCAAACGTCTATGAGTTCATTTTGGCGGTGAACATGTGGCTCCGGCAGCTGCATGTGCACTTCAGCTTCTACAAGTGGTTCCGGCACATGTCAGATCAGAGGCCGGGCGGCTCTACTAAGGATCTCACTGCTGCCATGGAAAGAGCTGACGACGGTGAAGAGCGCAGCCGACTCAAGGCTAACTTGTCGGCCGAAGATCGCCTGAGGCACGAGATTTTGGTGCACGAAAAGGCCGCGGTTGGTGCAAAGATTGCCAGTGACCAAGTCAGGCTGTGGCTCCGCAACCAAATCTGGTTCAAGAAGCAGCGCGTCACAGCCGACCAGATCAAAACTGCCCTGGCAGATTTGCACAAAGCTGGCTTGATGGATTCTGACAGCTCCCCTGAGGCGGACACACAGTCTCCACTTGCCAATGTTGCGGAGGCAAAGCGCAAAACTAAGAAAGGCATCAAGCCGGTGGTGTACATTAAAGAAGTCTGCTCGGGAGATTGGAGGCAATGCAGATGCAGAAGCAGCCCGCACGCGGCTCCTGGTTCCCATCAAGTACTTCTGAGGGATGCTTGAAGCAGGCGCACGCTTCCGGGCCGGAAGGGTATGGCCGATCGGCCTCGAAGGACGCGGCAGTGTGTATAAGAGGTCAAAAGCAAGGCGGCGCTTCACGCGAGACAGAAAACAGACAGACAGGCAGGCAGACAGACAGACAGACAGACAGGCAGACAGAGGGACTAGCGTTCTTTTCCCAATCAAGCAGCAAACCAGGGTGCTAGGTTGACTCGCGCGTTTGTGGCCCACTACAGACGCGCCAGAGCTGCCTTGCGCTTTGGCCGTGCTATGGCGTGCCTGATGACGCAACAAGTGCTGTTTTAAGACTTTCCACGTTGAGCATGCCA